GTGAGGATTTTTGTTTTCTTTACATTGAGATGTAATCTATACTGAAGGGTGTGCTCTTTGATCTTCATCAGTAAATGTTTTAAGTCCTCATCACTTCCAGCAAGCAAAGTTATATCATCTGCATATTGCAGGTTGTTAATGAGTCTTTCTCCAATCCTGATGCCACGTTTTGCTTCATAAGACCCAGCTTCTCGGATTATTTGCTCAGCATACAGGTTGAATAAGTATGGTGAAAGAATACAACCTTGTCGCACACCTTTCTTAATTTTAAGCCATTCAGTGTTCCCATGATCTGTTTGAACAACTAACTGCCTCTTGGTCCAGGTACAGATTCCTCATGAGCACAAGTGTTCCAGAACACTCATACTTTGCAATGTTGTCCAGAGTTTGTCATAATCCACACAATCGAAAGCCTTTGTGTAGTCAATAAAGCACAGGTAAACATCTTTCTGATATTCTTTGCTTTCAGCCAAGATCCATCGGACATCAGCAATGATATCCCTCGTTCCACGGCCTCTTCTGAATCCGGCTTGAACATTTGGAAGTTCTCTGTCAATGTATGCTTGCCTCCGTTTTTGTATTATCTTTAATCATTTAGCAAGAAGATCTTTTAACTATTTTAAGTTACTTTCTTAAATTCTACTTGTACCTCATTTGGAAATTATGTAACTACATTGCTCCCTCTTATTACTGTGATTTTGTTGCAACTGTATCTTTTGTTCTCTATTTCCAGTCTTTTAGGTCTGTTTTTCTTTGAATACCTCGCTCTAGGTTGAGTTTGGGGTGACTTTGTCATGTATGTTCATCTCAGGTTGTCTGCTGTTGTTGGTTCTCTGCCCAAGGAATTCCCTTTAGTGTTTTTTGTAAGGTCATCTGGTTTTTACAATTTCTTTTAATTTTTGCTTATCAGAAAATGACCTAATTTTACCATTGTATTTGATGGACAGTTTTGCTGGGTATATGATACTTGGTTGGCAATTTTTTTCTTCCAGAATTTTATATATGCCTTTCCATTGTCTTCTTGCCTGTATGGTTTCTGCTGAGAAATCAAAGCTTAGTTTCAGAAGTTCTCCTTTGTAGACAACTTTATGTTTTTCCTAAGCTGCTCTCAGGATTCTTTCCTTGTCTTTGGTTTTGGGAAATTTGATTATCTTGGTATTTTCTTTTCGGGTCTATCCTGTTTAGATTTTGTTCAACTTCTTGAGTGGCTATTTTCTCATCATTCATGATGTTAAGCAAGTTTTCTTTTTTTGTCTCTTTCTGTTCTGGAATTCCAACCACATGTAAATTAGTCCTCTTGACTGCTGGTGTTATTGTTAGGCGCCATCAAGTCGATTCCAACTCATAGTGACCCCATGAACAATAGAACGAAACTCTGCCAATCCTGTGTCATCCTCACGATTGTTGTCACCCTTAAGTCTATTGCTATTGTCACTGTGCCAATCCATCTCATTAGGGGTCTTCCTCTTTTTCATTGACCCTCCATTTTATCAAGTATGATGCCCTTCTCCAGGGACTGACTGGTCCTTTCTGGTAACGTGTCTGAAGTATAAGAGACAAAGTCTCACCATCCTGGTTTCTAAGAAGCATTTTGATTGTACTTCTTCCAAGACAGATTTGTTTGTTTTCTTGGCAGTTAGTCCACAATATTCTTTACATCCCCATAACTCAAATGCATCAGTTCTTCTATGGTCTTCCTTACTCATTATCCAACTTTCACATGCATATGCGGGTATTAAAAATATCATGGTTTGGTTCAGGCTCACCTTAATCCTCAAACTGACATCTTTGCTCTTCAACACTTTAAAGAGGTCTTGTGCCTAATGCAATATGTTGTTTGATTTTTTGACTGCTGCTTCCGTGAGCATTGATTGTGAATCCAAGCAAAATGAAGTCTTTGACAACTGCAATCTCTTCTCCATTTATATGGATGTCACTTATTGGTCCAGTGATGAGGACTTTTGTTTTCTTTATATTGAGGTGCAACCCATACTGAAGACTGTTTTTGATCTTCATCAGTGAGTATTTTAAGTTCTCTTGGCTTTCAACAATCAAGGTTGCATCATCTGAATATCGTAGGTTGTTAGTCTTCCTCCAATCCTGGTAGTGTTCCACAGAACACTTAGTCTTTCATTGGATTGCTTAGTTCTTTTTTCTGATTGCTTCTCTAGCAGATGAATATTAGATTTGTCTTCAAGCTCAGTAATTCAGCCTTCCATCTGCTTCAATTCTACTTCTTTGCCTATTAGTGTATTATCTATTTCTGAAATCTTAATGTTAATCTTCTGGTTCTCATTACTGTTTTTGTCTGGTTTCCATTTTATCACTTATTTTGTCCAGTTGTTTCCTGAATTCTTCTATAGCTTTGTCTGTTTCCCATGATTTCATCTGCAGTTTTCTCCATCATTGCCTCAGTTGGTTGAAGGTGCCTAAATAGCATGCTTTCAAATTCTTTATCAAGTAGTTCCAAGGCCATTTCTGGTATTATATTTTCTGACTGTCGTTTGGTCACTTGTTTGAGGCACTCTGTCTTGTTTCTTGATGTAAGCTGAAAATGTAACTTTGTTCAAGACATTGTGGTGTCGTATTTATATTTGATAATTGTATATTGGTGTGTTCTCAGGCATGCTACTGTGTCATGGTACATGTGTTAGAGACTGGAACTTAATACTTTACAGAGAGGTCTTTTGCAGCAGATTTGCCATCCTTGGAGATTCTTCCAGGAAGCCACTCGTAGCCTTTCAGGTTACCACAGTGCCAGTGCTTCCTGCCCCAGGGCTCATAGTGTTAAACTGGAATTTGTCTATGGCTCCCATTCAGTTGTTAAGTGACATCAAGTGACCCTGTAATTTTTAAAGGGTTTCCAAGGCTGTAAATCTTGTGGGAGCAGAAAGCCTCATCTTTCTCCAGCAGAGCTGCTGGTAGATTTCAACTGCTAACCTTGCAGTGAGCAGCTCAGTTTAACATAATCCATTATGTTACCAAGGTTCCTACTACATAGTGGGTGCTCAATAAATACTTAAGAGATTTTGTCAGTGAATAAATAAGGAAATAAGTGATTGAGTTGATTGAAAAGTACTGTGGAAGGCAAAGCCTGAAAGACCAGGGTTCTAATCCCAGCTGTACTTGCTTTACAATCTACTTCCCAACAACCTCAGACCAGCTGCTGGCCTATCGGTTATCTCTGATCTGCTAATCCCTCATCTGGAGGGCCTCAGGATATCTGCTGCCCTACACACACACACACACACACACACACACACACACAGAGAGAGAGAGAGACAGAGACAGAGAGACAGAAGAGCATTCAAGTGAAAGACCTAGGAAGTCTAGTCCTCAAGGGTTTCCACCCCCAGAAACACCCCTCAGAATGGAGAAGTGATAGGTGGGGTGCTGTGTGCATCAGGAACCGGGTGACTGTAGTCACAGCTGGCAGAAATCCACAGCCTGACAAGTGGGGATGCCAGGAACCAACAGTCACCTGCTTTCTTCCTGTGAGTGAGCTCTTTCTCACAACGCGACTGGGAGAAGGGTGTCCCTCATTCTCTTGCTTCTCACAAGTATGCCTCCTCCCCTGCCCTAAAAGTGGTTATCAGGGGGTAGGCCTTGGGGGCACCAGTCCAGCCAGTCATGAAGAGCATCAGTAGGGCAGGGAGCCAAGGAGCTTAGTCCCTCCCTCCCCTGGGATGGCAGTGGGACAGCTGAGGCCATAGGAGCAGAGAAACAAGCATGTGACTTGAAGACTTTGTGCCAGTGGGTCTGGATCTCACCCTGAGTGACACTTGCCCCTCCCAAGCTTCTACTTGTGGGGAGATGGGCAAGTGCTGGGTTTGAGGCTGAATGGAAAGCTGAGTCAAGACTTGAATGTGATGCATCAAAGGCCGCAAAACCAACCACACCTCCTTCTGAGCTTATTACCAGCACTCACTCCTTTGCTTCCCCAGTATATCAGTGGCTCCCACTTGCCTGGGCTGGCAACCATGTGGTGATGACAAAGAAGCAGGCTCAGGAACTGACCACAACGGACAAGAAGGCGGTTTTATATGTGGCAAAATACTTCTCCTAGGGGAATACAGACGAACAGACAGACAGGAGCACAGACACAAGACAAGGAGAGGGAAAGGATTGGGCAGTGGTATCTTCTAATCAGAGTGGAAGCTGCACCCCACCACCCAGGTGGGGGCGGGACAACATTGGCACAGGAGGTGGTGAGACAGGCATGAGGTGCCCATCCCTGAGGTGGGCAGCCGGGAATGGCCCAGTCCTCGTTGGCACAATTGGCTCTCTCTGACCCAGCTGAGATGCTGGGGAGGGGCAGGGCTGCTGGGCTAATAGAGATATTGAGGCAGAGGGGGTACCTCAGGGGAGAGGGGCTATCAAGGCCTCTCCTGGGGGGGGGTATAGACATGGGTAAAAGACTGGATCACAAGAGGCAAATACAAAGCAGCAGTAGCAGCCAAGGCCTCCAGGGGAGATCCGAGGTCCCTAGGCCACCCCTGGGGTAGTAATCACCCCTTGGGCACCAACCCACAGGGCCTCTCCCCTGGGGTCTTAGGGTGAGGGTGGAGGAATTTTTTGGTTTCAAAGAGGCAGGCCAGAGTGTTCTATGGGCTCCAGACTTGAGTGGCACAGGGATGGGGGGCTCAGACACAAAGAGCCCCTTTTTTGATGGCAGCAGGCAGGAGATGTTGTAGGCAAAGCTCATTCCTGGGGCAGGTGAAGGCTGAGGCATGGAAATGGTAGAATGGGCAGCAGCGTCTCTGGTTACCCACTCCTCAAGGGTGTAGGCATTGCCATGATCATAGGAAGGAAGTGGGCACAGTATCCGATGCCTGCCAGGTTGTACCCTGACCCTCCCTTCCCAAGCACCCACGCTGTAGCTTTCACCTAACCAGACAATGCTGGCAGGAAACGGGAGCGTGAGGGACCCTGGATCTGGGATTTAGAGGGAGGCCTCAAGGGAAAGATGCTGTGGCCTCCATCTCCAGGGAAAGAAAGGGCCAATCATGTGGACCCTCATCACTAAGAGTCCCAAGGAGAAAGAGTTAAGGAAGTGCACCTTTTCTCTGGGAGGGAAGAGTACCCCTGAGCTGGGGAAAAGAGGACACTACAGAGAGCTGAATATTCCCCCCATTCATCCACAGCAGGCAAGTAAAACCCTACAGCTGGGGCTTAGGGGCCATCCAGAAGCTGGGATGATACCGCCAAAGAAACCCCAAAACATTGAGCAAAGGCATCTGAGAGGAGGGAGACAGCATTCCGTGGAGGCAAGACCTGTCGAAGATAGTGACCCCTTGGAACCTGCCCTCCCCAGGGCTCAGAGCCAATCCTCTCAGCGGATGTAGACACCTCGTCCCCAGCCCTCCAGCTCATTCTTGTTGTGCCCCAGAACTGCACCCCCACCCTCAACACAGTAGCGGGCCTTATTCCGACCCTGGTTCCGGTTGTCGGTCAACTCATCCTCATAATCTTCTTCATCTTCCCAGGAACCCTGCCGGGCTGGTGGGGTGCTGCCCCCTGCAGGGTCTCCAAGCCCTGGTCCCTCTGAGGGGTCCGTCTCCATGTCCACACACGAGTCTCCCAGCTCTGTGTAGGCAGAGTTTCGGCTGCCGGGGGTGTCAGCATCAAATGTGTCTTGGCGGGATAGTGCCCGCAGGGTGCCCACCCGGCCTGGTGGGTGGCTGCTGGGGTAAAGGCCTGGGGGCTGGCCCAGTTCCCCCGGGTACTCGTGCACACTGACGTGCTCCCCGGTGGCCCGTTCCAGCGGCTGGTCCCCGGAAGCAAGGTAGGGTCCCTGGTTAGCAGGCAGATGGCACACACCATGCAGATCAGGCAGCGGTGAGAGAAACACAAAGCAAGGCAGGTTAGTGACGTCACCCAGGCAGCCAGCCTGGCTGAAGGAGGTGGGCTCTGGCTCTAGGGGATGAGCAGCAGGACAAATGGCTCTAGTTGGAAGGCAGATCCCAGGGCATTAGCTCCTCTACTGGGGCAGGGAAGGATGCTCCACCCTGACAAGGCAGAAAGAAGCGTGAACTTTCAGGGTAGGCATGGTACAGAGTCTGAACAGTCTGCCACCACTTCCTCAGTGCACATCACTAATGCTATCTTGGGTTAGTCATCATTAACAGCTTATTAATATTGCCACTCATTAGTAGCTGATTAGGTTAGTCACTGACCCCAGTTTTCCAATATGCTAATAGGGGGAATTTCAGTCCAAACTCAAGCTCCATCAGCCCACACCAGGCTCCAATCACAGATTTCCAGAACCCCAGGCTTCTCCCTCCCTTCCCTAGTCAGATGACAGCTTCTGGAGTTGATCCCACCCCTGTCTCCAAGACTCCAACAAGAGCGCATGGAAGCAGCAGCTGGAAGGCTGATGGGTCTCCGTCCCTAACTGGACACAATGAAGAGTGGGTGGTCCAACATTTTCATCACCAAATGACATGTAAAGGTGACCTAATGATCACTGTCACTATGGAGGCTGCTGGGTAGGGTGCAAAGGGACCTAGGTAGAGAGTTGAGAGGCCTGGGTTCTAGTCCTGCCCCTGCCACTTACAAGCTATGTGACCCTGAGCAAATGATCCCCCTGTCTCTAAGACTCAGTTTCTCAGGTTTGGTGTGGGTGGGGGTTGGGCTAGAACAGCAGTTTCCAAACTGTTTCCTGGTGAAGAAGGGGGCATAGAAGTGCTTTACTGACTCCCCTGGGGATGGAGAGCCCAAGCCACTAGATCCCCGAGGAGATACCTTATCTCCACACTCAGCTTCGACATCAGATTTAGTGGGCAAAAAGGCTCTGTGGCTGGAACAAATTTGAAAAGCAATGGTCTAAAATGATTTCCTGAGTGCTTCTGGCTCTAACCTAAGACCATACTTAATAGTGTGGCCTCTGAAATGGGTTGTGGATCCCATGGGAGTTGAGAGCAGGCAGGGTAGGGAACCCACAAGAGGGCCTTTCCTGGAATCGGTTTCATTGGGAGAAGGGTGGAAGGTATAGCATTTACTCACTTTTTGAGTGTGAGCCCTCTGTGTTGGCTCTAAACTAGGTGTGGACCCCAGCAACTGAGTATAACCGTCTTCCTCATGGCTCCTTCCTAGACTCTCATCCTTTAAGGTCCAACAGGCCTCATATCCCCAAACCCTCAAGACAGCAGATGGAGGCCTATAGTGCCAGTCCCAGTCCCATCAAAAATCACAGACACCAAAAGCTGCTGCTCACCACGTTTTTTACAAAAAAAAAAGTTCTTCCTGTCCTTCCCCCATGTCCCCTGCACTCCACTTCCAAGCCCTGGGCAGGAAAGAAGACTGGTGGGGCACCCACTACATGGCATGCTCCTGCTGTTGGGGCACCACGCTGCTGCCCTGCTGCGAAGCCTCCAGCCCGCCCCAGAAGCTGAGATTTCTCCTGAGCGAAGTGAGCACCTGTACCTGGAGGTTGGAGACAGGGGCAGGGCTGGCAGCCAGAGCTGCAGAAGCCATGGTTCGGTTCAGCAGCGGATTGGGGGGAGTACTGCTGGGTGGGTGTGTGGCCTTCCAATAGGCTTCCAAGTACTCAGCCAGGTGCTCACAGGCATCCTCCAATTGGTTCTCGTCCAGGATGATGTCAAACATTTCCTGTGGAGGTGGGGTGAGGGGTGGGGCTGGGATGAGCCAGGGTGTGACCAGGGAATTGGGGGTGTGGTCTAGGTGCAGTGGGTAGAGTCAAGGGTTGAAGGACAAGGTTAAAGATGTGCCGGAAGGGGAAGGAGGGCTCTCAGATCTATAGCTTGGCAGAACTTTAAAGAGGTTTTGGCACTCAGTCCAACTCCCTCATTCTAGAAATCAGGCCATCAAGGTTTGAAGAGTGGGTTTGACTTGCCACAGAGAAATGATACTCTGGGGCTTGAGGCCAGTTTCTGACTCCCTGTTCAGCATTCCATTTGCCCAAGGCCCGGTCTGCACCTATGGACCTGGTCCAGGTGTTCCTGGTCACTCTGTCTTTCCCATATGGACCAGAGGAAACCAAGGGAACCCGAATGCACCCTCCGCCCAGCCTCGGATCTGAGAACTCACGGGGGGACACTGCGCCAGCTTCTCCGAGGCTGCTATTTGGACATTGAGATGTCTAGACTGAGACTTCCCTCGGGACTTGATGAGCCGCTGGAGTACCTGGTGGGGCGAAAAGAGGAGCTAGGCTGACCCAGATGATATGACCTGGTTGGAGTTACGCAGAGAGCCAGCGTCAGGGTCAGGGGACACTTGATGACGCTCAGCCTAACCACCTCTGTTGAATCCACCCCAGCAGCCCTAGCCTTGGCTCTATCCTGGGTCTCCCAGCAGCCTCTCCTGGGAATCTCTCCTTTAGAGCTAGCAGTTGCCATGTGAAGGGCAGTGCTTTGCCTTCTCAGCCCTGCTAACCTTGTTTAGAGGCTTCATTCTCCAGGCCAATCTCGCCACCCCAACAACAGCATCAAGCATCCCAGATACCAGCATGAGTCTATGTTTGACGTGATCAACTCATTTAATCCACATAGTCATCCTATCAGGTAGGCACCATTATTGTCCTCATCTAAATAATAATGATAATAAGAATAATGGCTAACACAAAGCCACAACCTCACCTAAGTGATCCAAGTGTTCATCAGTGAGCAGTGAGGACACACAGCACTTCAATCATCCTCCCGCCAAACACGTCAAACTTCTGTCTAGTCATGAGGGAGCATCAGTTCTATCCAGACTGAAATACAGTCTACCTATAGCTGACCTATACGCTCCACTCCAGGAAGTACTTCAATTCTATCATCTCCTTTAGTCTCATTAGAAACTTAGGACTCAGAGAGGTTAAGTAACTGGCCCAGGGTGCTCAGCTCACAGGGTACTATCATGGGAGGATGACAGTTGCCATCACTGACAGCCATCCTGAATCAGACAGTATACCGGGCTCTTCATATTAACTGCGCCAATCCTTTCAACAGTAACACAAGGGAGGGGTGTAACCCCCAGTTTCGTGGTTTGTTTCCCATAAATGACAACTTTTAATATTTTTACTAACATCCTATCAAAAACACATATGTGCATAATTACATATAAGCATGGCTGCCTGATTTATTCATTCACAATATGTCACAATATTTAAAGAGACAGTACAGACGTAAAACCAAACGGCCACCACTCGTCTGTCTGTCGTGCTGTGGTGGTTTGAGTTGCTGTGATTCTGAGGGCTATGCCACCGGTGTTTTAAATAACCA